TAAGGTCCCCTCACAGCCTTCTCTTCTTCAGGCTGAACAAGCCCAGTTCCCTCAACCTCTCCTCGTAGGGGAGATGCTCCAGTCCCCTCACCATCCTCGTAGCCCTCCGCTGGACTCTCTCCAGTACTTGCCGCTGGGTCAAGTACCCCCCAAGCCCTTCGAGAAGTGTCTCCATGGGGTGGAGATGAGATGCTGTGGGTTCAGAGGCAACATGACCATGCAGCACGGGCTATGAGTCAAAACGCAGGGTCCTTCCTGTTCCCACAGAGGGGGCTGGATGCTCTGAGCATCTCCCTGCCTGTTTGCAGGCTCAGCTGTTTCCAGCTTCACCCCAGTCCGGCTGGTGGATGGCCCAGGTCGCTGCGCTGGGAGGGTCGAGTTGTTTCACAGTGAGAAATGGGGGACGGTGTGCGACGACAGCTGGGACTTCGCGGATGCCAAAGTGGTGTGCCGGCAGCTGGACTGCGGGACGGCGGTGTCAGCTCCGCGGCGGGCTCACTTCGGGCAAGGACAGGGACCCATCTGGCTGGACGACGTGCGCTGCACGGGGACGGAGGCTGCCCTCTCTGAATGCAGGGCCAAGAGCTGGGGCATCCAGGGATGCGACCACAGAGAAGACGCTGGTGTGGTGTGCTCAGGTAACCGCCACGTGTCACGGCACTGGGAGCACTGTGGCAAACCGTGCCGTGGTCCTCCTGCACTGGGGTTTGACTCTCCTTTCCCCTACGAATGCAAGGGCTTGCAACCCAGGAACAGTTTGCAGCCAGCCTGGAGACCCTTTGCTTTGAAATCAGCCCGTCATGGTCCATCCTGGTGGAAGAAGGCAGCTGTACACAGAGATTAAAGTCCAAGAAAGACAAACTCCTTGCCCATTTGCACTGCTATCACTAAAAATACGGTCTCTGGCATGCCTTTGGCTGATGTTATTTATCACAAATCCTGGCAGTTAGCACGGGCCAGAGACCATTCCCATCAGGCAAACTGCAACACAGCCACCTACTTCTTCACGGCAGGGCAAACTGAAGTATGAATGGGTCTTCTCCCATTACAGCTGGCCTCCTGGTCAGGGAGAAGTCTCCAACAGCTTTAGTTGACCCACGGTAGATGTACCCTGCGATGCTCAGAGCTGCATGAGCCTGTGAGAGTCCATCATCTCCCATCACTCTCTCTCCTCTCCAGCTCTGATTTTCTGTCAGAAGAGCCCCGCAGCCCATTTTAGTGACTGTTAAGAAGCTGGGGCCACGGGGTTGCAACCAGGTTGCTTACTATCAGGATGCACTTTGCATAATGTCTGGGTGTCACTGACTGAAACAGCCAGCATCGAATTCAGTCGCTTCAGCACGGGAATGTAGCATCTCACCCTAGTTATGAGATCCTACAGGAAAACCTGTGCCCTCCAGGAGCAGCAGCTGGAGGATAGGTGAGGTATCCCGGGAGTCCCAAAGGACACAAGGACGCCTTCTTCTTGGCGACTGGACCCTGCCCTATGTGTCTGCTTCAGGACGGCAAGCTATATAAGGTTCATTGACTACAATATGGTCAAGCCCACGCTAATCAAGCCTTGGGCACCAGCTGGGCCAGTTCACATCACACCTCAAATGTCTGCCCTCTCTGTCATCGCAAGAGCATCCTTGACCCACCATGTGTTGCCACAAGAGCAACCTTAACCCCCACGGCTGCTCAGGCTCTGGTATAAACCCGTTGCTGGCAGCCGGACGTTTCACGGGACAGAAGTTTGTTTCTTAACACGTGTACGCTCTCTGGTGTTGTAGGATCGGGCATTTCCGACCTCGTAAGCCTCCGCTTGGTGAACGGCTCAGACCCATGCTCCGGGAGAGTCGAAGTGTTTCATGATCAGCGCTGGGGGGGCATCTGCACCGACGGCTGGGACTTGGCTGAAGCCCAGGTGGTGTGTCGGCAGGTGGGCTGCGGGACGGCACAGTCGGCCGCAGGGTCTACCCAGTTTGGAACAGGAGATGGCCTGATCTGGGTGGACGCCATGGAGTGCGCCGGGACGGAGGGGGCCCTCTTTGAATGCAAGGTCAAGTTCTGGGGCATCGAGAGCTGCAAGTCGAGGGGCCACGCAGGCGTCGTGTGCTCTGCGGCCACAGGTCAGTGGCGGTGAGTCGGGGATCAGTCCTCCCTTGGGGGAGGCCGTGCAGTCTGACCAAATTTGCCCATCCAACTCCTCCTTGTCCTGGCCCAACCACCCCTTGTTCCTGTGGTCCCACCAGGGAGCACAAGGTGTTTTCCGTTTCAAGGTCTACCAGTCCTTGGCTTCCCTCAGGCAAAGTGCTTGGAAATCCCAAGCCTCTAAGATGTTCCATGACACGCAAAGAGTCCTGGCACACCAGGGTTTCAGCTGCCCCTGTGGGTTTTTTTTGATCTGTGCTACTGCACAACCTCTAGTCCTCGGGAAGTCCCTTCTCTTCACCAAGATACTCCTTGCTCAGGTGCACGATGCACTTGGTGCCTCCTTGCCTCCTTGTCCCCATGAGGATACTCACATCACAGGAGCTCGTCAGTAACTTGGCCAGGTTCTCAATCTACTGGGCACGGTCCTAGCAGGCTTGTCCCAAAAAGTGCTCATGCATGCACGCCCAGGGTACAGCAGCAGCAGAAATGCTACATGCTGGTGGAGACCTTGCAAGACCCCTTGCAAGGAGAGGTCCACCATGTTGCCAGTCACTGGACAGGCAGGCATTTCTGGTCAGGATTTATTGTCCTCTGTTTCTGTTTTTAGACTCAGGGAGCTCAGAAGCCCTGCGGCTGGTGAACGGCCCGCACCGCTGTGCCGGGAGGGTGGAGGTCTTTCACAACCAGCAGTGGGGGACCATCTGCGATGACGGCTGGGATCTGAAAGACGCGGCCGTGGTGTGTCGGCAGCTGGGCTGCGGGACGGCCATGTCAGCCCCAGGTTTATCTGGGTTTGGGCAAGGATCTGGCCCCATCTGGCTAGATGGGGTGCGTTGTCGTGGGACGGAAGCCACCCTTGCTGAATGCGTGGTCAAGCCTTGGGGACACCATGCATGTAACCACGTGGAAGACGCCAGCGTTGTGTGCTCAGGTAATCTTCACCACATGTTTTCACTGTAAGATGGACCAAACCCCGTACTTCTGCATGCTGGGAACGGTTTGCGAACAAGCTGGCCAACAGATTTCCCAGACTGGTAGAAACCTTGTTAAAATTACACTGTTCAGAGACATGGAAAAATACGATACGCTGGGAAAAAGCAGCATGTATTAAGACGTGCGTGACTATCTGGTACCACTGGAGGTGTCCAAGATGTTCGCACAGATGTGACTGCGCCCTGCCCCAGATCAAGAGCAGGGAGAGCAACTTGTGCTGCAGATAAATGCAGAAAGATGCCCTGGAACCAGTTGCTCTCATGCAATACAGCACTTTTGAGCTAGCTGCTACCAGTCTAGCCTTGGCCTTAGAAGATCAACCTCCATGGAGAGATCAATGTGGCAGTCAGAAACAGTTAGGACAGGGACAACCAGAAAAAGATCCTTTGCCATTTCCTCTAGGACAAAAAGTGGGTAGAGTCAGGTGAACCTAGGTGATTCAGCTTCCAGGCAAGGGGGAAGGAAAGCATGGAGAAACATTGGGAGGGACCTCGTGCATCTCTTCTTCCCAGCACAGTGCCCCTCACGTGGAGACACGAGCGCTTTCTCCCGTTCTGACCCCTGAACCAGGGTGCAACCACCCTCAGGCTGCAACCGGTGGAAGGGATCTTCTGCAGCTCTGTCCACCCTGCAAAAAACCCTGTGCTCACTTTACTGCAAGTCCCTGATAAAGTGCAAGGGACACAGAAGCTCACTGCAGCAACAACATCCAGAACTGCTGCGAGGACGTCCTGCCTTCTCCAACCCAGCAGGTGTTAAGACGCAAAAGCATATCCCTAATAATGCTCGTTTTTGGGTATTTTTCAGGCTCGGGGATTGCCAGCATCCCCAGGCTTCGCCTCGCGGGTGGTCTGAGTGAGTGCGCTGGGAGGGTCGAGGTGTTTTATAACAACGAGTGGGGGACGGTCTGCGACGACAGCTGGGACATGAGCAACGCGGCGGTGGTCTGTCGGCAGCTGGGCTGCGGGGCGGCCGTCTCGGCCCCCGGCTCGTCTCGGTTTGGGTGGGGAGCCGGCCCCATCTGGCTGGACGACGTGAGCTGCACAGGGAGGGAAACCAACCTCTCCGAGTGCCAAGCCAAGGCATGGGGCATCCACAACTGCCACCACGGAGAGCAC